AGACTTTATGTGCCAAGTACAGACCGGCTGGAAGCGGCAGCAGCTCTATGGAGGATAAAGGCGATTCAGCCTCTTGCACCAGGCTGGCATTTGGTCCTGGCAGAGCCTTTCCCTCACAGCCCACGCACTCCTCCGCTCTCACCCCTGAGGGGACGAGAGAGGCGCTTTGCGGGGAGCTGAGATCCAAAGGCCGTGACCCCCCCCCCCCCCGAGTTCCAAGAGATGCCTGGTGTCCAAGACAAGCTCAGTCTGTGCCCCTAACCCCCCTTCCCACCCTCTCCTGCTGGGAACGGTTTGAAGACATTGCCTATGCAACTGTCACGTGCAGAAAGGGGCGAGAGACGATTTAAAGGCTTGCAATCCCCTGGCCTGGCCTCCCCTCTCTGCAGCACTGGCAGGAGGATTTCCTCGGTTACAAGAGCTGGGGGGGGGGGTGTGGCTCCGCAGCTAACAGTTGGCTTCTGTATCAGATCCCAACCACACCCGGTGTGGTGGGCAGAGCAGGAACAAGACGCTATCTGTCTGCTCTGCGTCGAGCACAGCTCCTGAACACCCCATGGTGCAAGCCTTTGTGGTTACCGTGCTGGCAGCAGGACCATTTTGCTGGCAATAAATGTGTCACTGGATCACGATCAGAGATAATGAATCATAAGTACCCGCTGCCAACGAGCCCTTTCCTCGAGAGGAGCTGCAGGGTATGAATCAGAAACAGGGAAACGGAGAGAGAGACTCACAGAATCGGCGTTTCTCCCTCCCCCTCGGAGCTTGGGCTGTCAAAATGAGGGACCGTCTCTGTCCTAAATCTAATTGGCCCATGCGGCTGAGAAAACAGCCTCAAAAGGCAAGAATCTTTCAGCAGTAGCACAGGTGCAGAGGCTCCAGCCAGATGCTGGGTGAGGATTTATTTCCCCCATTCCTTTGGGCTGATGAGCGAGTTCATTATTCCTAAGGTGGCCATTAGCTGAAGTTTAGCTCCATTCATCATGCACATTGGTTGCCCTCTGTACCCAAAGCACCAATGAAGACCGGGCGTAATGGCTTAAAATGGAGACCTTATTTGTCACTTCCCCTCCTGAAAGCTTGCATTGTGCAGACTGGTTGCTGTAAGCTCGGCGTGCTGCATACAATCTACGATCATTGCACCGGGGATCTTCGGAATGAAAGGGCCGAGTCGGACTGGGTCGGTCATCGTCGACTCCCTGTGCTCTTGGCTCTAGTCTTTCTGCCTTCGTGTCCCCATCTGTAACGGGGTGGGTACTGCCCTGTCTCCCAGGAATGCTGTGATGGTGCCCGGATCTCCAAAGCTCTCCGCACCCAGCAGCTGCCCCTCTTCTCTGCACCCTCCGGGGAAATCTGACACTGCACTGAGAGGCTTCAACAGGAGCTGAGCTCTGTAGGAAAATCAGCGGTGCATCGTGATTTGATTTGTCTTCTGTTCAATAATATCCCATTTTGATGCTATTCAGCCTCAGAGCCTCGTGCCTGTGTTTCCTAGATCTACAACTGATGGACAGCTCGGCAGATAGGGAAACCTTGGGGCTCCCTACCCAGCCATGTCGCACCAGTGCCGAGTGCAAATAAATGAAGAAGCTGTGTGTGTGCTATGCTCACTGAGGCATTGAGAACGAGGCAGGCCTCTAGCCTCACCTGTGTAGATTCTAGCCCTCTGGTTTCCTTTAATCTCGTAACTGTTTCGGTTACGAGGTGTTAGAACCAGGTCTAGAGCCTGCTCCGGCTCCCACTGAAGTCCGTGACCAAATTTCCCATTAGATTGAATGAGATCAGAGTCGGGCCCTAACTGCATTTGGGGGAATGGAGACGGGGAATTGGGCTTGGTCTCAGCATGAGGAGTTCTCCTCGGAAACGGAGTTCTCTTGTTCTCGGTAAAGACTCAGACTATGCCGAGCACAGTATAAGTTAAGGAAATCAAGGCTTTTGTATCCTATGTTCCTGCTATAGAATTCGGCCTCCGGTTCCGTCCCTGGAGTGAACCTGGCAGGAGGGAGTGTAGCCACGCTACAGCCAAGCCAGGGTTAATGGAACAGCCTGGATCCACACTGGTGGTGTGCTCCGCTGCGCCCGGTGCAAAGGCTTCATGGCATGCAAACCGTGGTTCACAGGTCCACAGCAAACCGCCGCTGTGAATGCTTCCACTGAGTGCTGTGGGAGAACTGCTTTGTCCCTTCTGTGGCTCGTGGGCAGAAATCCTCAGCTGACTCACCAAACTGAACTGGTTCTGGGAAGCAGCGTTCCTCATTTCCGTCCTTGGCCTACGTCCGAGCTGGGGTCAAAGCCCAGACCCTGCTCGGTGCAGTGACCTGCAAGTGCCGTTTGGGTGAGAGGAGGAAGAAATGGGGAAGTGGGGCTAGAGAGGCAGTGTGTGCGGAGGAGAAGAGACGTCTGGCAGCGGTTTGGGGCTGTGAGAAGGTGATGTCCTTGCTTTCAGAAAGCTCAGCCCAAAAACCAAATCCCTGTTGCCAGGGAGCAACTCTGCCTCACTAAGTGACTCTAGTCAGAGAGCCTGAAGCAGAGTGTCAAGTATCAGAGGGGTAGCCGTGTTAGTCTGAATCTGTAAAAAGCAACAGAGGGTCCTGTGGCACCTTTAAGACTAACAGAAGTATTGGGAGCATAAGCTTTCGTGGGTAAGAACCTCACTTCTTCAGATGCAAGACAGAGTGAAGCAGAGTGCAAAGTCCATTGCTGCTAGCCACAGCTCCTGCAAGGGAGCCTGACTCAAACTAACAATACAAGCCTTTCTTCCAAGCCTGAGCAGTGCTCACCTGCTAAGCCAAAGGACTTTGGAAATCTGGGCGTAACAGTGCAATCTGGTGACCCCTGTAACAGTATGAAAGCACTCATGGTTCTTGGGAATCCATTTCTGTCCACGCCGACCAGGGGAAAAGTACTGGAAACCCTGCTGTAAACAATGTGGTGGTTGTTAGCACAACTCCAATCATAGGCTCCCATCCAGCAACCTTCCTGTCTTGTACTAAGCGACTAAGTTCATTGGCTTCAGCGGAACTCCTCACGTGCTTAAATGTTCACACCTTCCGGGCCACCATGTGCTCAGAGCCTCTGCCTGCAATAGACCCAGTTGGCAGTAAAGCAAGGAAGTGGGGGAGAAGGTAGGAGAAAGGGGAGAAATGGCATGTCAGAGGCCTGCCAGAAAACAGTGGGGAGGAGGGACAGAGCGGGAGAAGGAAGATGAGACCAAAGGAGGAAAACAGGAAGAGAGGGGATTGGACCCTGGCTGCTCAGTGTGGCGCCCGACTGGCCTCTGGAACCCCGCCGCCATCTCAGTCTCACATGCTGGAGTGTCAGAAGGTCGTCGTGAGACTGCTACAGAAACTCCTCAGCGACACTAGAACAGCTGAGCGGCTGGGCCCAGCAGAGATGTTACCAACCAGCTTCCCCTTCTACGCAGCCCCTGAGGAGGGAACTGCCACCAGAGACAGGAGGCGGCAACTCCCCTGGGCCAGGCCAACCAACCTCCAGGAGGGGGAGAGCAGCAGGACACCTGGCTCGGCTCCCAACAGGACCTGATTAGCCGGCGTGGAGAGCAGGCCCTTTGCTCAACCCTGCTAGAGGAGTCCCTATGAGTGGGAGGATGGAGAGTTCAGTGCAACCTGCATGAGGAGATGCTCCTACGCTCTCCTGAAGCAGCATGTCCCAGAGAAACCACCGTTTCCCCGCTGCAGAGTTGAGCTGCTCTCAGGAGGTAGCTGGGTTGCTCTGACGTGAACCGGAGCTGCAGAGAGCTCCCAACTCAGGACTTAAACTAGAAGGGCAAGTTGATTAAGGAGGCCCAGGACGGCGGGAGGGGCAGCTACAGGAGTAGCAATAGCAAAATGCTGCCCCGTCTGCAGCAGCGGGTGGCCTCTGCCCGTGTCACGTTCAAGCCTTATTTAAAAGTCTCAATAAACCAGGCTTGTCCCAGAGCTCCCAGCTGAGCGTTCACGGAGCGAGCGTTTAAAGTGCCTGCCAGCCCATCGCTGCAAGTGGAAGACTTATGGGCATGGGCACTAGGGGAAGAAAACCCAAAATGGGGAAGAGATGGTTAGAAATTAGAACAAAATATGGTCAAACATGCAGGGAAATGAGAGGTTTCTGACCACTTCCTCCTCTGCTGGGAACGCTCGCTTTTCTAGTGAAGATTGATACGTTGCTTTAAAATGAAAACTCATTGAGGGGTCAGGGTTTTTTTTTTTTAATTAAACTTAAAATTTACAAGTAATACTCTAGGGCTAGTCAGCTACCCCACGGCACGCGCTGGAGAGACTATCGGGGCACTACCTGAGGCTTTCTACAGCACAAAGCTTGGTGTGACATCTCGCAGTACGCTTCAGACTCCGCTAGAGATGAGATCAGGCCACGGAATGCAGAGTGAGATCTGGACTGCCAGCAGCACCCGGAAATCCCAGCCGATTTGGATCAGAGGATTTGGATTTGACCCATTCCAAGGGTCTGGATCTGGGTTTGAAGTTCATAAATCTGGGCTATTGTACAGGCCCAGCCATCACTGTGTTCGTTCATTGCATGCAGAAAGACACCCGGAGGCAAATCTGATCTCGGTTACAATGGTGTCACTCTGGTAGCTTCAGTGGAGGTACACCAGTGTGAATCCGGAGTAATCTGGAGCACATATTGGCCCACAATATATAAATTAATACCAGGATCCAACTCAAAGAAAAGCTGTTTCTTGCCTTTTATCCATCTATTATGATGATGTGAGTTGCTGCCTTTATTCATCGCATAATGTCCATCGCACCGGATAATGAAGGATCATTTTCTTTCTAGGGAGCATGCACAAATTTGTGTCAAGCAGGAATAATATGCCAAGAACTCATGTTTAAATGATCAGAACATACTGGTGGTGCAAGACATGAAAATTGAATACACAGGGATTCAAAAGATGTCAGAACTATGCAGCCAAGTAAGAAAAAAAATTAAGAGCCTGGGAGAATTTTAAAAGGGAAAGAGAAAATTCAGCATAACGTAAAATGTTGCAGAAAGGGAAGAACGCAGGAGAGGAGAACGAGGCCTTGAGGAAAAGGCAGATGGGTTAGATTGTAAGCTCTTCGAGTTGAGAGGGAAAATCCTGGCACAATTGACCTCAGTTTCAAAACTCCCATTGACCCATGTCCTCAAATGCGTTTATGCAGCACCCAAGACACTGCTCTTAAATGGACCTTTAGGTTCTACTGCAATATAAATCAGAAATGTGGTGTTCGGAGCTGGGCGAGAGAGAAAGATGGGCATGAGCAAAGTTTGCACCAGGAAAGTGTCCCCAGCATTTGAACTGTTGGGATGGTGGGTTTTCATGCAGGCCTGTCTCTGAATGGCAGAGATGTCAAAGAGGTCTGCGCACAGCTGTAAAGCTCATGGAAACATACCCAGCCAGACCTTTCCTTGTAAGAGAATGACGCTGTCTGAAAATGAATTGGAAATGGGGGTGTCTCCACGCCGGTGAGTGAGATTCACTCTAGGGAAACAGCATCAGATGGGAGCAAAGGCAGCTAATCTCAGTGAATTGGATCTTGATCCCTTGGCCAGATTTCCAGCTAGCGTGAATGAGCGAAGATCTATTGGCTTAGCCCAGCTGCGGATCTGGCCCCATCACTCTTCTAATAAGATGCATAATTCGTTACGTCTTCACAGTCTTTTAGGGCAAGACCAAAGACCATAGACTCATAGACTCATAGACTCATAGACTTTAAGGTCAGAAGGGACCAATATGGTCATCTAGTCTGACCCCCCGCATGATGCAGGCCACAAAAGCTGACCCCCCCACTTTCCCTTAGCTCTGCTGTTGAAGTCTCCAGATCGTGATCTAAAGACTTCAAGTCGCAGAGAATCTTCCAGCTTGTGACCCCTGCCCTATGCTGCGGAGGAAGGCGAAAAACCATCTCCTGGGCCATGCGATCAGGGCCAGGGGGGAGCCAGAGATTGGAGCTGGCTCCACAGTGGGGTTTCAGAAGGTATCTCTAACCCTGTATGAATGAAGTTCATCCCATCTTGTGCCACGGCTCTGTCCACAATGTCAGAGCAGCGTTTCCCATGCTGGACACTGACACTCAGCCAGGAGGCTGGAGGCTCCAGGCTCGTCTGCATGGGCCGGAGGCAGCATCCGAGCACTGGCGGCTGGCAGTCCAGTGGCTGCCCCTCCATCTCCCAAGTGCTCTGGGCTGAGGGAGAGTTTTACGCAACCTGTGACTGGGAAATCACCATGACGACAAAGCCTTCGGAACGACACAGGCCTGAGCCTGCTGGATGGTGCTGAGTGTAGGGGGCAGCTGAGTTCAGGCCCCGTCATACCGGCTGCCTCTGTGAGCATCTGGGTCCCTCTCTGGGCGCAGGGAAGGGACATATGCTGTCCCCACTGCATCACCCTCCCTCCAGGGGACACTGCCGAAGCCCCTTGGTGGGAGCAGCTTCCATGGCATGCTGCCCTCTAGAGCCAACGCCTAGCCACGCTTCTATGCCTACAGGACTCGGAGAGCCTCTGCCCTGCCTCCCCACACCCCGCCCAGGAGGCTGCCAGCCCCACCCTGCCTCTCCCCGACTCTCTCGGTAGGAGGATACAGTCTGGCCCTTGGTCCCAGGCTGAGAAGTCCATGGACGCAGTGGATGAGTGCATCACATTGCTCTTGAAGAAGCCTCCCTAGCTGAGGCTCCAGGAATGGGCAGGCTCCCAGGCCAGAGGGAGATTACTGCGACATGGGGTGGAGGGGGGGACATGGAGGGAGCGGAGAGGATTTCACATCCGTCTAGAGCCGCAGGAAGCTCTCGAAGTGGCTGTGGCTTGGAGGGCCCGGTCTGCAGTCTCTCTGTCGAAACTCGGGCCAGTAGGAAATTGCTGACATCAGTAAAAGCTCAGAATTCAAATGAATCGTGCCATGTGCCCCCTGAAGGCTGGCAGGGATAACGGGGTGGCAGCAGGGGTAAACAGTTGAGTTTAGAAGGCCCTGGGAATTTGATGTAGCTCACGAGCAGGTCACCAGTAGCAACATCCATTTGGGAGTTGCCTCTTGTCATGGGTAACACAAGCCATATTAATCCTTTTCCCCTACATGTTTTAAAATGTCCATAGGAACCCAGATTTTAAAGCACCTGCATGTGATTGGGGAGGGGTGGGGGAGCAGGAGGATCAAGGTCCCCTTTCAAACAGGACTTGATTTTATCCGTCATTGGCTTGATCCTTCCCTGGTTGTTCAAATGAGGAAATTCTTTGGAACTACGAAACGTACGAGCCACTGTTAGGCAAGACTGAACCAGCAGCATCCCCCTCGCCACTAAGGGAGGGAAGACAGCTGGGGTTGCGATCAGTAGCTTTTATCCATAAAATGAAGTCCAATGAGTTCATAAACCACAGAACAAAATATTAAAGACCAATTGCCAATTACGACGGAGACATCTCGAGTCCTGACAGGCAGGGAGGGCCCCATTAAGTCCGCTGATGACCTCCATTACTTTTAATCGCTCTCTGGTAAAATAGTAACTCCGTTTTCAAGTTGGGAATTTAAACTACTTTGCAACTATATCCAATTAGAGTAGACTAATTAAGTGGTCACAGTGATGTTCTCCTATGTATGCACCTTAGAATAACTCTGCCAAAGACTCTTCTTTGACTATGCTTTTTAACCCTTTCCATACCACACGCAGAACCAGGAAAACAAGCCAGCCTCTGAGGTTTATTCATATGGCCCTTTGTATGATTGACACCACGTGTCCATGGGCGTTGTGAGGATTCTGGCATTTCTATGCATGCTTTCCAAGTGGACAGGTGTCTGTTTCTAGGCCGTCTGACAGCGTACCACTCTCCGCTGTCCTGCTCCGTGCCAAGAGAGCTGATAAAGTGTCTCCCAATGCGATTGCTGGGGTCTCACGTCATAGAAAGCTGGGTTAGCTTTTACAAGTGCAATCTGGCTGTCTGGACATTACTCACAGCCCTGCCAAGACACTTGTCTGGAAATTCTTTTCCTCTGGCCTCAGGTTCAGGGAGATTTTTGACCCTCCCAAGAGGCATCATAACGTATTAACTGGCTCCATTCCTGAATGAAAACTGCACATGCTATAATGAATAAGAAACCTGTTCCTGACATTATCGCATCTACAGTGTACACCAGTGGCTCTCAACCTTTCCAGACTACTGTACCCCTTTCAGGAGTCTGATTTGTGTTGTGTACCCCCAAGTTTCACCTCACTTAAAAAAACTGCTTACAAATCAGACCTAAAAATACAAAAGTGTCACAGCCACACTAGTACTGAAAAATTGCTGACTTTCTCATTTTTACCATATAATTATAAAATCAATCAATTGGAACACAAATATTGTACTTACATTTCAGTGTATAGTATATAGAGCAGCATAAACAAGTAATTGTATGAAATATTAGTTTGTACTGGCTTAGCTAGTGCTTTTTATGTAGCCTGTTGTAAAACTTGGGCAAATATCTAGACGAGTTGACGTATCCCCTGGAAGACCTCTGAGTACCCCCAGGGATATGCGTACCCCTGCTTGAGAACCACTGGTGTACACAGCACCAAAAGTGTCTGGGAAAAGAGAAAAGTGTGAGAAAGGTGCCTTTAAAGTAAGGACTAGGGTGGAATCATCAGTGGGATTGAGAGACATAAAACTAAATCTACAACTGGTAGAAATTTCAGTTTTTCCTGCCAAAAATTTGTGTTTTGTCTGATTTAGGGGTGGGTGGGGAATGTCCTTTTTGGCTAAATGTTCTACAGACAATTTCTAAATGAAATGTAAAATATTCATTTTGTTTCTGTTAGAAATTTCCCACAAGAAATCAAAACATTTCAATCAAAAATTTTCCATTCAAAATTTTTGGTGGGCAAATAACATTGGTGTTTTTTTCCCCACGCAGCTCTACCCGGATTCTCCTTTGCCATTGGCCAGAGGGTTCTCATAGACTCCTCTGGGATTCCCGCTGGGGCGGATGTCCTCCACGCATTGTGATAGCTGAGCAGGCAGAGGGCCCCATTCTGCTCTGTCACACTCCGACAAGGCCATTGACTTCCCTGAGGGGGCTGGTGTACGTGCAAGCACAGACTAGCCCACAGACTCCGGGCCTGTCATTGACGTCCTGTTTACACCATTGTCACATGACCGACTGACTCCTGGTTTTTACCAGTGTCCGCGAAAGGAGAATTGGCCCTTTGTCCTTGGTTAGGGGCAGCTACGGATTGCTTACGGTTAGGGTGACCAGACAGCAAGTGTGAAAAATCAGGACAGGGGGTGGGGGGGTAATAGGAGCCTATATAAGAAAAAGACCCAAAAATTGGGACTGTCCCTATAAAATTGGGACATCTGGTCACCCTACTTATGGTGTTGCACCTCCAAGTGCAGAGTGGCTGCCTCCCTGGACCTGCAGTTACAGAGACCGGGGCTTGCACGGGAGTAGCTACAGAGCTTTCGATTTGCTGCATTGGTCCAAAACTCCAAAAGTGCTTCTAGGCCTGTGTCCAAGATCCCCAGACCATGCTCTGTCTCTGACCTTTATGCAGGCTCCCCAGCCACATACCCTCTTAGTCCTGGGCCTCAAGGTGGGGCCCCACTGCTCTGAGATTGGGGCCCTGGCTTCAGCACCACTGTTTCTTGCCATGGCTCCTTCAGCAGGTTCAAAAGAGCTTTTGCCTACGTTGGAGACTTCCCGTCTCGGGAGCCACACAGCCAGCACGTGTTTGCAGCGACACAGGGCAGCCTTCTCAAAACCAGACAGTGTTGGTGAGTCGGCTGGAATCCAGGCTGTCGGGATGCTGGCATAGAATGAAAAAGCGAGGCCTATGCGCATGTATCTCACCTTATTTCTTCAGCTTTGGCTTGATCGGGTAGGTGAGCCCACTTTTGCCCTGCCTGGAAGGAAGGCATACTGCATGATTACAGCAAATCTCCTTGACTGGGTGTGGGAGAACTGGGTTGTTACTGAAGTCTGTGCACACGTCTGTTCATTGTCTCATGATCCAGTCACTCCTGGGCTCGGGTAGGGGAGAGGTTGTGGTCAGACAGGTAATTTGCCATTCAAAGAGTCTCCTTGGCCGGAAGT